GCATCCGGGGAGCCGAACAAGGTCGACCTGATGCAGTCTACTTTAGGTGGAAGGGTTTAGGGTTTAGGGTCTAGGGTATAGGGTCTAGGGTTTAGGGTCTAGGGAACCTAAGAAGGATATCATAATTAATGGGGTCTATAGTCCCCCTATTTGGGGAAACTACCACTTAGGGCTGCGGGTCCCGGGTTTCAGATCTGGGGTTCCTAAAGTTCGGGGAGTAGGGTTTCCTCTGCCAGATGATGCTTCCCAAAGGGACGCCATGGGTCAGAGTAGACGCCAGACAGCTGGAACATCCCTACCCCTCTACCCCAAGACATGTAAAGGGACATTAAATGGGGACCCCAAAGTAGGAGGAATATACCTACCAGGGTCCTCATATTCCCATTGTATTCCTACTATATTCTTGGGGTTCCTTGTTTGGGATTCCCATTCTACTTCCTTGACCTAGGAAACAGGACAAGTAGAGAGCATTGCCAATTTTGGAATACGTGAGGATCATGTAGGGATCTCACTAAGCTTTTCATCATGGGGATTAGGATACAGCTTGGTAACACCAAAAATGATGGAGGCAGCGAAGACGTGCTGGTTCTTAAGGTAAGGACCTTTGAGAACGCGGCTGCGCTTTTGGAAGCTCATAAACTCCCAGAGCAGAATGATTGATGCCTGTCTGTTCCTTGCATGTCTGATATACTATAGTAGTTCCCAGCCTATTTTCCATCATCCCTATTGACCCCGATATACTATATAGTAGCTTCCATCTTCTTATCCAAACATCTAATCACTCGGGCCTCTATTCACACTGGGACACACTCCCTGCCATACTCCGACCTAGGGGGCTTTCCAAAACAGACAAGACCTCCTGAAATCAGTATGGATATAGTATAAACTCCTCAAAGAGGGTTATATAGGAGATTCTACTGGGGACTACTTTCTGGGGTTATTCAGGGGGATACAAGGAGTTAAGACCCTATATCTGGAAAACCTGTCTACCCAGAACCTTGTATGTCATTTGTTCTTTCTTGGGAAGTAATCCTTCACCAAAAAAACACCCTAAACCCTAAACCCTAAACCCCAAACCCCAAACCATAACAGCCCCGAAAAAGGCAGTGTGTAGAAGCCCAAGTGTGGCTTCCTGGTACTTCAGGGAGGGTGGGGGAGTGGATTAATCCCCATATGAGCTATAAGCTAAACTCCTAGTATCCCCCTTAATATCCCCTATCATGCTCCCCTGTATGATTCCTCTGTGTATGACCCCCTTAAAAAGTTTACACTCTAGCTCATCTGTAGCCTCCTGATGGTACAAACCCTCCCTAAACCCTGAACCCTGAACCCTGAAACCCTAAACCCTAAACCCTAAAACCCTAAAGCCTAAAACCCTAAAACCCTAAACTCTGGATACTGCCGAGGCCGGTACCCAGACACGAAATTGGAGAAAGAGGGCAGCATTGCCGCGAGACAAATCCTGGGCATGCATCCTACTTCTGGGTTGCTGTTTTTAGGATTTAGGGGTTAAGTTACCGTAATGCAGGTATATAGGATTTAGGGCCTAAATTGCCATAATATGGGCATATAGAAAAAATTAGGATGTCCTCTTTATAGTAACTTAAGTTAAGTTCCTTAACAGCAACCCAATATGTCCTGCCTTTTCTTCCTGTTGCTGAGGAGGGAGTGGAGGAGGAGTAAAATGTAGGGGGTCATCAAAGGCAAAATGGCAAAATTGGAAAACCACTATTTAAGGTGTAGGGATTAGGAAGTCCTCGTCTCCCCTTTAACAACCCCTAAAATACAGGGTTTAGGGATTGAGGTTTTGGGTCTAAAGTCGCCGTATCCCCCTTAATAACCCCTTTAATATAGGGTTTAGGGTTTAGG